GCGGTCCCTGCCCACGTGGCCGCCGCCGTCATTGTTGCTGGAGGGCAGGCGAGCCCTGCGCCCCGGGCGAGGTCCTCACGGGGCCCGCGAGCTCCTCGGCGAGACTGCGGCGGGGCGCGGGCGGCGCCCCAGGAGCGAGCGGCCGGTCTGGGGGCGGCGCGCGGGCTGAACTCTGACCCGGGCCTCGACCCCAGCCGGGCAGGTACCCCGTCGCGTCTGTCTGGAGCCCAGCGGAGGCTTGAGGTACGGGCGGCGCGGCTGTTTTGTCTCCCCTGATTTAAGGCTCCCGGCTAATTGCGGATTTGCATTTTCGTCGCTGAGCCGAGGCCCGGTCCCCGGGGCTGCCAGCTGCCCGGCGGGGGAGGGGCGGCTCCCGCCTTCCGTGACTAGTTGCCAACCAACGCGCGGGCAGCCGCTCACCCTCGGGTGCCCTGCGACCTGTCCTGGTGGGGGCGCGGCCTCCACTCTGTCAGGGGTTGGCTCTTTCACTCCCTCGATTGAGGGTCCCTACTGCTCTCCTTATAGCGCTAGGGACCCCCAGGCACACACCGTTTGGGGGGGGTTGCCTGCGGCTGTCCCCACTTGGGCCTGTTCCTACCTGGCTAAACCTTCACCTGTCTGCGGGTCCCTTCCTGAGCCCATGGGCGGGCTGGCCGGGCCAGGGGCAGCCCTGAGGTGGACCGCTCCTCCCTGGGCCTACCTGCTTTCTGTTGTTGTGATTTTAGTGGTAAGAAGTGGCCCGATCTGTGTTTGCTATCTAAGGAACTCCACACTCCAGCGCCCTCCTCCAGAGGGGGCAGGGGCCTGGGAAAGGGGGAACTGGCAGCTCTGGGCCCCGCCTGGTCTGGAGAGGACTCTGCCCTTCCTCTTTTGGCAGCCCCTGTCTACCTTTCCTGCTGGGGTGCAGGGGCCTGGCAGCTCTGCTTAGGAAGATGAAACCTGAGGAGGGAGCCACAGGGGACCCAAGTGCTGAGGGCTCCTGCTGCTCCCTGTGCAGTCTGGGCTGTGGAGGAGGGGCCTGACTCTCCGGAGTCCCCTGTCCCTCATCAGTGCCCTGGCTGGGGGAGGAGACGCCACTGTGTGTGACATTTGAGGATCAGGTGCAGGGAGCACGTGTGCTTTTGGCTCCCCCGGGTATGTGGTTTGCTGGGCTCAGACACACCGGTTCCCAGCCGGCAGATCCTGTGGTTAGACCTTGCTCACAGAGGGCCCGCCAGCAAAGGCCACAGACCATCGAGAGGGAGGGACAGTCTTTCAGGGCCAGGTCGGGATAGGTGGCAGTTTCCCAGGGGACCAGCTAAAAGCAGGTGACACCATGAGCACCTACCTTCTCCGCACACATGGGTTCACTCAATGCCATATGGCAGCCCACTGAGGTGCGTGCTGTTATCACCCCTATGCTACACATGGGGAAACTGAGGCACAGTGGGCTTTGTAAATGATCCACATAACCCAGGTAGAAAGTAATAAAGCTGGGGTTTGAACCTGGTAGTCTGGTTCCAGAGTTCTGTTCTTTGGGACCTGCCCCCCCCCACTCCCCCATGCAGCTGCATTGGGTATGTGTGGCTGTGGGGTGGGGGCCATGGGTGCTCAAGAGAGTGGCCTTCTCAGGGTGGAGAGTGACCCCCTCCTGAGAGCTGGAGGGGTCAAGGCTCGCTTTGGGGGCCAGGACTAGGTTGAGAGCAGAGGCACCCCTGAGTACTTGGCGGCTAAGGAAGGGGAGGCTCCAGGTTTCATCCTGCCGGTCCCTGGTGGGGGTGGCTGTGGGGGATAGGCAGGTGGGCATGTGTAGACTCAAGAAGATGTCCCTTGGAAGAGGCCAGCCTCCTTTGGCCTTGCCTACAACAGACACACTCACCACCAGGAGCCTGGGCCAGTGGAGGGCTGGAGGCTGAGGGGACAGGCATAGGGGCACATGGAGGAGACTGGTATGACTTCCTCTGAGGTGGCGAGCCTCATGCTCTCCCGTTTCTGTGCTGTGGACGCCCTGCGAGCCTCCACCTGCGCCTGCAGCAGCAGCAAGGCCAGGCCGGTCCTGGCTTTCTCATGAGGCTAGTGTGCTGAAGCCCTGTGGTTTGGCCTCTGAGTCCCTCCTTTCACGAAGGCTGCCTTGAGAAAAGAGGACCCCCTCAGCCCCCACTCCCAGGGGTCCAGGTTAACCCTTTCCTGCTCAGCTAGGGGCTGAGGGTGCCAGAGGGGCTTCTCGCCGCAGGGAAGTGCTGCCCTGTGCACAAGTGCCCACCTCCCTGTGCACCTTGCTCCCGCTGGTCCGTCTTAAACCTCCCGTAGGTCCGGACCTGGGTCCTGCCCTCCAGGGAGGTGACCGTGTTGGGCAGTGCGCTGCACGAGGCTGGTGGAACACGGAGGTGGGCGAGGGGGGGGAGGAGGCAGGAACTG